ATCCACCTAATGGCTAACTCCCATCACTCAGAATCCCACAAAGCACAAAGCAAGCAGCATTCAGACAAGGGAAAATCTAACCATAACATACTCAAGCAATCATGTCCACATAGCAAGAATCTGAACTAGCATGCAACACAACTCATAAACTCAGGCATAACCTAAACAGGCTATCCTACTACTATCTATTCAACACTATCATGCAGATCAAAAGCATATAATAGACACATAAGGCATCATCCCTAGATCCTTAGTCCTAATCTAGCATGCTGTTCTATTAACTGGTAATCAAAACATAGACTTGTATGGGTATTTTGGGGTACTTACTTGAGCTCGGTTGATTGCATGCACCACACCTCTTTTCTCTTTTCAAAGTTTTTATCTTTCTGAATTCTTTTTGCTTTTCTAAAACTGTTTTCTTTCTCAAAACTCCCTTTTTACAAAACTGTCTTTTCATTTTGAAAACTTCTTTACCAATTCCCAGTTTGAGTTCAGACACACCCGAGAGCATGTTCGAATCCCTCAAACCAAGGCTCTGATACCAACTTGTAACGACCCAAAATTTAAGACCAAAAATTTCTTTTAATAAATCATTACTTAAAATAAAATCATCATTCCAAAACATAATATGAGTATAAGTTTTCAAAACACATGTTTATTATCAGAGTAAACATTCCCAGGCTGTCTAATCTATGGTGTGTGCCATGCGATCACCCCGAGCTCTTCCCTCCGCTACCGGAAGTACCTGAAACCAAAACTGAAAACCGTAAGCATGAAGCTTAGTGAGTTCCCCACCCTACCACATACCATGCATAACCACATACTGCACATACTGGGCCACGCCCGCTACCTTGGGCCTCGCCCGCTACAACGGCCCCGCCGCTCCAGGCCCCGCCTGGCTTCGAGCCCCGCTCGGATACATATCTGTTTTACTTAGGCCCCGCCTGTTACAGGGCCTCTCCTGCCAACAATTAATATCACATAAACATATCACAACACATAACTAAACACATACAACTGGTTCTGTCCTAAGGCCTCGTCTATCCTGGGCCTCGCCCATGTACTGCTACTGATGAGTCATGGAACCCCGTCCACGCTACTAGTGGTAGTGAGATACGGGCCCAACCTTCCCTCACTCCTTCCCTAACTTGGGCCTCGCCCTTGTTATGCAACTATTGAGATGTGGAACCCCATCCGCACTCTGCTATTGGTGAGATACGGGACCTCGCCCACACTCACCTCCCTACCAGGCACATACATGTATCACACAGACAACAAGTATAAACTATCATATAAACAATCCTTGGGCATCCGCTCGTTATTACTGGACCTCGTCCTGAAAATCATACTAGCATACTGTGCCTAGGGCTAACCCCGGGTCTTCTACTCGAAACTACATGGGCCGACATTGTGGCCTTAGACCCATTCACACAAAGGGAAACTCACCTGCACTGGCTGAACTTGCTGATGATCTCACTAGCTGCTGCCCGACAACTCACAGAACTCCTGCTCCCCTTGCTCCCCGAACTACCAATATCAATGCAACACTGAGTCTGACTGGCCCCCAAAGACAACCAAGTCAACCCTGGTCAAGGTTAAAGTCCTGGTCAAAGTCAACCTTCCAGGTCAACACTACTCGCCGAGTCGCCCTACTGATTCGCCGAGTTCAAAATGATCAGATTCCTTCCATTCGCGACTCAACTCGCCGAGTCAGTCCATGACTCGCCGAGTCTACCGATTTCTGAGTCCTGACCTGTCCAACTCACTGAGTCTCCACCCGACTCACTGATTCGAGTCTCAACTCGAAGGGTTTGGGGTTTTGCGACCTTACTCGCCGAGTCCAAGAACAGACTCGCCGAGTACAAAGCAATCTTCATACGACTCGACGAGTTGTTCATCCCACTCGTTGAGTTTCTCCACAACTTCATGCTACTCGCCGAGTCCACTTAAAGGACTCGCCGAGTCCCTTCAGTTCTCCTTACATGCAGAGGACTTTTGAGTTATGCATGGACTCCAAACTATAGATCTACCCTTCTCGAGCCTATTCCTCACGTAAAGTTGCAAACTTTACGTGTAGAGAAGGAGATCTAGGCAAAATATGCCATAAACTAGGGTTTAAGGCCAAGGGGCTTCAAAATCGACTCAATGGCTGATACTTTATGCTTCTCCAGACCATAACACACTTGGATCTGAAGTAGCAACTCCAGATCCGGCTTCTAACCCATAAGGGTGGCTAATCATGGCTTAAAAGCCCTAAAACTCACAACCAAAATTTGATCTAAGGGAAGGAAATGACTTAATACCTTCAATACTTTAGAAAGGTTCCACAAACTCCAGATCTGAAGCAAATCCTTGAAGCTTCACTGATTCCCCTCCTTCTTCTTCCTTCAAATCACCCAAAAATGGATTGGAAGCTTGAATGCACAACAATGGAGGCTTAGGCTTCGTTTTCTGAACAAGGGAGGCTCTAAGGAACCCTAATGGAGAGAATAAGGAGCTTAAATAGCGCCCAAAGTCCCAGACTTAAGGTTTTCCTCGCACAGACCAGACTCGCCGAGTCCACTTGGCCGACTCGCCGAGTTGGCCACTTACACCTTGACCCGGATCCCGCTCGGACTCGCCGAGTCCCTCCTTGGACTCGCCGAGTCGACCCTTAAAAATCAGGGCTTTCTTTCCTTTCATGGCCTTTAAGACTTTGGGTGTTACACCTGCGCTACAACAGTTGCCACGTTGTGGTCGTCACCTTGTCATGTCGTAGTGTTAATCAGAACACGAGATACATAAGTGTCATGCCACGTCGTGGCACTCCGTGCACCACGTCGTGAGATAAGGTTTTCCTCAAAAACCTTATCTTTGACCCCTTAAAGTTTTCAACTGATCAATTTTGAAAAATTGGTGTTACATTTCGACTTCAAACGAAAGAGTTATGACAATTTTTTTTAAAAAAAAAGACAGATTTTGCATAGTACTGAAACATAATACAATTCAACTAAAAAAATCCAATGTCATGGGGCTTATAACTCGATGAATATGGAACCAAAGACGTTTATATAGTTTAAAATGAACTACAAACAATTAAATACATGTTGAAGTAAATCTTGTCATTCCAACAAAAAAGAGAAAAGATTGTGCATAGTACTGAAATAGAAAATAATTCAGATTTGATAACCTATTTTATGGGGTGTAATTCAATCAATATGTATCCGAATAATGTGTTTATATAGTTTAAAATGAAGTGCAAACAATAAACTATACGTTGAAAACAAATCATGTTATTCCAACTTCAATTGAAGAAATTATGACAGTTTAAAGAAAAAAACAAATTATATACAAGCATATTTTGGGTTGGTCCCAATTTTTACCTAGAAGCGATGGCACCGAACTAGAAAAAACCCCTGAAATCGATATAAGAAAATCTTAAGAAGCAAAAATCGTTCAGCTTGATGAAAACCGTCTGGATCCCAATTGATCCGACTAAACCAATTGCTCACCCTACTCACAACTGTAATTCCCATTACAACGTACCCGTATAACCTTTTTGAAACGAAATATATAACTTGATTCGTAAATGAAAAAAATTTGGACTTATTCTAAATTGAAAAAATATATATTGTGTTGGCGATCTTTAGATAATACTATCAACTTTGTCAGATTGTTTTTCTACTACATCAATGCCACACCGGCTTTGCCTCATCTGTCCATTTTTTTTTTTTTTTCTATTTGAAAGAAATTATTTACCGTTTTACACAACTAAATTTAATGTGAGAAAACGTCCATTAACTTTAAATAAAGTTACGTAACATTAAATTAAAATATAATACTGAATTAAAACATAACACTAAAAATAAAAATTAGTAATTCGTTGGAACCCATTTTTTTGAACTCATTTGATAAAATTCCAAAACTCCAAATACTTGAAAGGTTTTCCATTTTCTGCTCGAAATTTGTAGAGCTTTGTTCAAAATTTTGCCAAATTAAGTCTCAAGTTATTAAACAAAGTGTTAAACTCTAATACCATTTTATTCACATACTTTTATTTTGTGTACACTTGATCTTTTGGTAATTACCTTGATTCATTTAGTCAAGAAAAAACATGTTTTAATTCTCCTTCAAAAACTTCCCCCATTGTGTGCATTTGCGACCAGAGGTTCCTCCTATACAAAGACCAAGATCCATGCACCGGCCAAAAAGTCTCTTCTTTCGGGGTCTATGGTCTAATAATGAATTTCCCATTGTTTGAAGCAACCATTTGCTAAGACGGAATCGAGAAAGGTAAAATTAAGGTTGAAGGTTTGAGAAACGATGTTTGAAAGTGGTAAGAATTGATAGTAGTTGTGGGTATTTATATATGGGAAAAAGTTGGTAAAATTTTTAAATTTAGATATTACAAGCAATAAAGAAAAATAAGTAAAGAATAGAGAGGGGTCATGACAATTTTCTTCTGTGTGTGGTGCTCAAATTCGACATGCCAAGCCTTTAACACGGTTTTTGCTGAGCCCTTTGCCGAAAAAACCAAAAACTGGTTAAGGAGTAAACTTAGAACTGAGAACCGGACTAAATACCACTTTACAGTTCCAATCAGTTTCGGTTCCGTTCTACTATCCAGTGTGTTATCTAAAATGATATCGGAACCGGAACCAACCCGAATCAGATCGGAACCGAAAACCCAAATAATGAATCAGGCAGGGACGGACCTAGTAGGTGTCCGGTGTGGCACCAGCAACACCTTCTTTTCCTGTCCATAGTGGAATTTTTTTCGATTTTTTTACCTATTTCTTCTACATCGGCAGCACCTACTATATATTCTTATGTCTGTCCCTAGAATCAGGATAACCGAATTAAATACAACACGATTACTCGGTTCCAACCTATTTAGGTTTCAATTCAATTTTTTTGGTTAAAAAACTCAAGAAGTTTGAAAAGGATAATAAGAAAAAGAAAAGAAAAAAAACATGACTAAAGATGACGAAAGAGGATAGGTAAGATTGTTACTCCCAACAGTACACGCTTATTTACCTCTCCTTCCCAGCAAAGCTACTACCCCTCTTACTTTCTCTCTCTTCATGTCAGAATCAAAATGTGAGCAACTGATCTGAGAGCCATAATACCCAGACCCCATTCAGCAAATTTGTTATTGTTTAACATTTTGGGGCTACCAAGTCGTAATCAGCCATGGCAGCTGCTCTTGAATGCTGGTCTAGCCGTACGAGCACTGATGAAGACATGGTGGAGCAAGGTCTCATGCGAACCGGAGACAGATCGGAATCTTCAGCCGCCGCCGTCGATACCTCTTCATCTTCCTCCTCCCCCTCCGCTTCCGCCGGTGCTTCTCTTAAAGACAGTTCCATGATGCAGAAGAAGTTTCAGAAACTCAGCCGCAATGTATCAGAAGCCATTGCGTCTCTCAAGAACTCCTTGAATCTCGACCCGGCCCGAGATTCGAATCCGACCCGGATCGATAGTTCCCGGAAACATGTCTGGGGAAGCGTCGTTCGGAATTTGACTCAGCTTTATCCCGGAAGTCAACTCCCCGAGAAGCTCGTTTCCAATATCCGGAAGCATTATGATTCTCTACCTCTCAGGTCTTTACTCTATCAACAAACATCTAATCTTAGGGCTTGTAAATTCAAATTTTCGTAACACCCATCATTGCTTTACCTTCTTTAATCTCTGTTTTTTTGCTAAATCTGATTAAAAACTATAAAATCATGTTCATGGCGATGTATCCGACAGTTATGCACAAGCAGGATTCGAAATGAAGGATGTGTTCCTACATGTTAGATTGATAGAACAAGCATCAGCTGATGACCTCCCAGCTATAATGATACAAGAAGTTTCAGACGAAGAACCTCAAGGATCTGTTTTCAAGCTCACTTTCGCCTGCAATTCATCACTTTCATGGCCAACCATGTCGGGAGCACTAGATACGTTATCAATTTCTTGCAAGAAGATACAGATCTTTGAGAAAAAAGGTTTCACATTAGGAGTCATTCTTCTTTCGATTCCAATCCAACCAGAGCAAGAGAAAACATTCAAATCCCGGATAGAAACCGCTTTGAAATCAGCTTTAAAAAAGCCGAATAAAACAAATTCTATGAAGCTCCCATTTGGGCTTTGTGGGTGTCAAGAAGAGGGTACAAAGGGAAAAGAGTTTGGTGAACCCGAAGACGATTCCAACACCCAAAATTACCAAAATGGGGTCGAAACTTTGACTCCAAGTTCATCAAAATTGAAACTAGAATTACCTCTACCCAAATCATCAATAGTAATATCCGTTGATGAGTGGCAAACAGTTCAATCCGGGGTCGATGAGATCAAGAAATGGTTATTAAACCCCGATAGTTTAGAGTTCATCGATCAAATTGGATCCGGTAGATTTAAAGGAACATACAAAGGTAAAAAAGTCGGGATCGAGAAGCTAAAAGGGTGTGAAAAGGGTAATTCATACCAATTTGAAATCCGAAAAGATCTTCTAGAGTTAATGACATGTGGGCATAAAAACATTTTACAATTTTATGGTGTATGTATCGATGATGTTCATGGTTTATGTGTTGTGACTAAGTTGATGGAGGGTGGATCGGTTCATGATCGAATCATGGTTAAAAACAAAAAGATTCAAACGAAAGAGCTTATACGAATTGCTTTAGATGTTGCGGAAGGGATGAAGTTCATGAATGATCATGGTGTTGCGTATAGAGATCTTAACACGCAACGAATTCTATTGGATAAAAACTTGAACGCATGTTTAGGTGATATGGGCATTGTTGGGGCGTGTAAAAGTGCGGGTGAGACTATGGATTATGAAATGGATGGCTACCGTTGGCTTGCTCCCGAGGTTAGTTTTCTTTACTCCTCTTAATCTGTTAAGTCGTTCTTTTTGTATTAAGTCGTTCTTTCTGTATTAAGTTAAAAAGAAACAACCATATATATAAGATTAAATAAAAAAAAAAAGTAACAAAAATTTCAACATCATTAGGTGACCATATTAGACATTATTATCACTCTTGCTTAACTTTTGGCTTTATTAAACCACTTGCATCATTTCACTTGATAACAAATGCATCCAATTAATGACACAAGTTCCATCAAATTAGTTTCAAATGATGCCCTCCACTAACAAATTCAAAAAACAAAAACAAAAAAAAAACTATTATTTTTGTACCGTTTTACTCCGTGATGCGGGACCCACAAAATAAAAACAATTTATTATTTTACAGATAATTGCGGGGGACCCGGAAACGGTCACGGAGACATGGATGAGCAATGTGTTTAGTTTTGGAATGGTGGTTTGGGAAATTGTGACTGGGGAGGCGGCATACTCCGCGCTCTCGCCCGTACAAGCTGCGGTGGGGATTGCCGCGTGTGGGCTTAGACCCGATATACCGAAAGATTGTCCTCAAAATCTCCGGTCTTTAATGAACAAATGTTGGAATAATATTCCTTCAAAAAGGCCTCCGTTTTTGGAGATTATTTCGTTGTTGACTCGGTCAAACAATAGCAGTAACAATAACAATAACAGCTTTAGCAGGTGACAGAAGAAACTGATGTTTAGTTAGCATACAGAAATGCATGGGTTGATTTTGCAACATAAAATAGTTGCGATAAAGATGTTCATACTACCAGCCATGGTTTCATTTTGATTTTTTTTTTTTTTTTTTTTTTTCCGGTTAAATGCTAGAAATAGCAACGTATTTTCATTGGTTTATTTTATTGTAGCATCATGCTTCCATTTCTTTCTATTACAAAAGCATATTTTGAAAAAGGTATCTATCTAAATACAAAACATTTTTTACTGGATTTTACAAAATATTGGATAGATTTTCGAAATATAATGATGTGAATGAAGAAAATGGAAAAAATAATGTTATAATACATAAGTAAATGAATATACGTTGTTGCTTTTGGTATGATTTGATTTTGGGGAACATGGGAAATCGTTAAAAAGAGCTACAAAGAGATGAAAATGTGAAGTTTTGGAGTGATTGAAGGGATTTTGTCTTGAGTTTGATGTTTATGTTTGTAGTTGTGGGCCCTTTATGTCTTTGATGCGAAAAAGTATATGAAATCTTTCTTTTGGTTCATTTGCATACCTGTCTTTGAACTTTAAGAGATCTGTATTTATTTTTTTAATATATTTACGATGTATGAAGTTAGAATATAATTTATATGACTTTTGGCTAAGTTTTGTTCAAAGATTCTTCAAAATAATGACACTTGCATATGAAAAATAGTCAAAGATGGAGGACAAAAGATTCAAAGAATATGAAAATAAGTGACTTTTTGGATTTTTGCACTAGTATTTCTACTCCACAATTATTATTAGTTTCTTTTAGTATTATTAAATAGGAATCAAGTTTTATACTTATTTACCTATATAGTATACACCTCATTTTTTTTTCAACTCAAATTCTCAACTTTCAATTTTATTTTTACATGATAACCTTTTCTATTTTTTTCTTTGTTGTATTGTTATAAAAGTTTTTATTTATTTCACATGGAAAAATTGTAGAAAATAGTAACTTATTTTGTTCTTGTTACCAATATAGGCTATATACTTTACTGTTTACCAATAATTTTGTTTGTATTTTTACTTTTCACCCATACTAGCAATATATTTTGTATTTTCCTACTCGTAATACCAACATATTTATATTTCCGTATTGGATAGAAATGCATTTTTTTTACATATAATAATAATATACTTGTATCTATATTTCTCTACGTATATGGTCAATGTATTTTATGATACATAATGTTATTTATGAAGAAATATAAATACATTGTTATTATAGGATTTTTTTCTAAACATGTTACACTTTTAAGTAAATCTGTATTACAACTAACTATAGTTTTTATGTTAAATATTATTGGTAAAAATTATAATCATGTTCCTATTATGGTAATGATGGGTAATTAAATAAAATACATTGTTTGGAATGGGAGAGAGTTTTGTTATTTCCCGTATTTTTTTTTTCCCACAAAATAGAACAATTATGAAAGCTTGATCAATAGTTACTGATAGTATTCCTTTTTATATATAAACATTTTTACAAAATTAGAATAAAACTAAAATTTGATTACTATGTAAATTAAACTGTTTTGGGCTACTCCAACCCAACACCAAAAATCTTACTTTCTACACCAAGATGGTGATAAGCTTCAACCTCATTTCATTACTTCCATCATTTTTAATATAAAAGACATAACATCAAATTTAGTATGATATTATCTATTTACATCATTCAACGTTTCATGTATTACTTTTAGTGCCTCAAATTTTATTTATTTTTACTTTATCAAAAATATAACTAGGTATATTCAAAATATAATAATTACAAAACAATTCAATTCTAGTTTAATATGACTAGGTATATTGTATATAAAATAATTTATTTGGTTATAAGTTTGTAATAATATATGTTATAAAGTTTTTACAAGAAAAAAAGATGCAAAAAAATAGTAAGTTGAAGGTATTTTTGACAATTTATATAAAGGGGTGTTTGTTTTTCCTTTTAAATCAGCTTTTTGATTTTTAACTTTTCCCCAAAAAGTTAGAAAAATCCAAAAGTTGTTTGGCAAGTGGAAAAGGACTTTTAAAACCAATTTTTACCAAAGCATAAAAAATAGCATTTGCAAAAGTCACACATCCGTGACCTTTTGTATTTTTTTGAACTTTTGAGACTGGAAAAACAAAAGAAATCCAAAACACTTTTTAAACATATTTTGGAAAAAGATCTTTTATAAAAAGATCCATTTACAAAAAGGACTTTTCCACTTGAAAAGGAATCCCAAATACCCTCTAAGATAGAAAAATATATACTATATGATATACTTTTTGTTGGTGATTTGTTTCACTAATGTGATCTAAGTGTAATGAGATTACTTTGTGTGACCAAAAGTGATCTTGATAAATATTAAACAAGTAAGGAAGGTGTGAAGTACACACTTGTTTAAATTTATTCAAGATTAAAAGTAGACTGTCATTTAGGGCGAAGCCCCTGAACAAATGGCTATTATTATGCCATTTTTCTAAGGCTATTATTATGCCATTTTTCTAACACTTTTTGATGCAAAAATGGTATAAGATTAAAGATAAAACAATATCGTACCATTTTTTTACACGATTTTGGTATAAAAAATTGAGTTTTGTTGGAAATGGTCTCAATAAGCCGTCACATGTCACATCATCAGCCCACATCAACAACAGAGTCATGTCAACAAAAAGATACAAAATTTCACAAGAATAGAACACATGCTATCAATGCTAAACACATCTCTCAAAGTCTTGAAACACCAAAAATATTTATTAACTTTTATCGGCACCTTCCTCAAAATAAGATGCTCCCCTCACCCGAAACGCAAGTTGTTTGGAATGCTTTAGCACACGCCTCTCGTCAAAGCTTTCCCATCCTTCAAACTGCAATCACAACCCTTGGATCAAATTCATCTGACAACTGCTTTTCCAATCTCGGCCATTGATTGTTATACAAAATACTAGCAACTTTGGATGAAAATTACATACCTCTCGAAGCATGTCCATTGTTATTTCCGTGCCATGGAGGTCTAGGGTTGAAAGTTGGGTGCAATTTTTTAATAGTGTCATAGGAAGTGATTTAAGCCCGTTGTTGTGGAGATGTAACGCCTACAAGTAGTTGAAGACAATCTTAATAAAGTTGGCCCAAATATAGACATGACACTGATATGACATGACATGACATGACATGACAGCTTTATACTGCGTTTGACACGATTGGACTTAGATGTGAACCCTACAAAATTTTCAAACTTTTGTCCAACCAAAAAAGGCGAAACAAGGTGGGACATAGACTTGCTCTCGATCGCGATCTCTCGTCTGTGCAAAAGACGTAAATGCCCTCCTCATTCTGTTCATGAAAAATAGCTATAGAAGGCTTAAATTTAATACCTTGAGATTTCCTAAATTGCTGAAAGTTTCTGGAAGCTCTACGAGAAGATTTGATGAAAGATCAACCTATATAGTGTATAGATTCAAATTATGGATCAAAAAAACCGAATTTTACAAAAAGGAGTGGGATTTCAGAGATAAATATGAAATCTCTTACTTCAACAAGAGAAGAACAGCTCCCTATGCATGAAGTGATGGTGCTAATCCTTCATATAAAATATAAATTCTCATTATATGTCTCATGACAATTGCAACGTTTTTTTCTTATTGGTAAGTCTTTAATCGATAATTTATTTGTTAGAATTTAGAAAATTAGCCATGATAAAGAGTGAATATGAACATGTTACCTATTGTCATTAGCTTCTAAAACCTCGAGATGAGCTAGAAATCCTATTTCATCAGGAAGACATGTTAACTTGTTGTTTGCAACATGAAGTTCCTTCAAAGTAGTTAATGCTCCCAAATCGGAGGGTAAAGTTGTCAAACTGCAAATATTATATCACCAATGTAGTTGGTATGAAAGATAATTGTTACAAGGCCATTATAAGACAAAGGGATGCTTACAGATTCTGGCTCAAAGACAGAAAAGAAAGAGATTTTAATGAAGAAAGCCCTTTCCAGCTAAGAGATTCATCTTCTATGCAGTTCAAATTCAAGAGAAGTTTCTAACAAATAAAGGAACAATCGACAGATTACTACTTTTTTTTTTTCAACAGGAATCTTTCATTCAAATTAACAAGTATGACACTCTTACCTGCAAAGAACTCAATCCACCAATGGCGTCGGGTATATCTTGTATCGAGTTACAACTGAGATCAAGAAATCTTACAGAAGATCCACAATTCCATACTTCTTGAGGTATGACCTTTATGTCGCCATTAGAAAGTGCTATGACTCCAGTAAGCTTCCATCTTTCAAATTGACTCTTCACGACAGTCGCTTGTTTCTCCTTTCTATTGTTCTCAGAAGTTCTTCTTAAATTTGAGACCACCGGAGATTCCTTTTTGATCGGACCACTCTATAAGAAGCACAAATATTTCCTAAATCAAAACCTAATACACCCAATTCCTTAACAATCACATTCAACTGACAGATTGCAAATTGCGAATTGCAAATCTAAACTAGATTACTGATCGATATATATGAATTTTCAAAATACCCCTTGATGTAGACCCTGGGAAGCTAAGAGCTGCATCTTATAGACTCCATTGTTTGTCCCCAATGAACTTAACTTCATTTCATCGTCAAGAATTTTCCCTGTAACATTATGTTCATTGAAATTAGGTTTTTTTTTTTCGTGTGTTGAAGATGATGCGTGTTTGGTAAACAGGGATGGTTACCTTTAGCGATAAGTTTTTGACCGCGAGGAAGAACATCGGTGAGTGGTTGAAGCGCAGACTTTAGGTCTTTAACGGTTGATTCAACAGAAAGGTTCACCGGTATCGATCGTCCGTTGAACTTCACGCTAATTTTAATAGTGTTTGCGGGATCGCTTCCGTCACCGGTAGCGCCGTTTGTCGCCATTCCGACCTCTCGAGCTCAAACCAGTTTGCAATAGAGGATGATACACAACCGTAATTGCAAAAATGGTCGCAAAAATTGTAATTTTTGTTGTGGTTTGCTCCAAAGAAAAAATTTAAATTAATACACTTGATATTTTATTTTTTCATTTCTTATAATTACTTTTTAATTATTAAAAAAACTATATATATATATACCCCTCCACTACAAGAAAATAGCT